ATCAAACTAATAAATCAAACAAAATAACATTGACATGGACGAAATCAAAATATTGAGAAAAAAATGTAGTTTTAGGAAAGATTTATCACTCTCTATAAATAATGTAAAATTTATAGTGAAATAATGTTTTTTAGGTGCAGATACAAACATCATTATCTGAGATTAATTCAAGAACACCCTACGTGTTTTAGTGTGGCCAAAATAAAGATGAGTTATTCGTTAGATGAATATCTTAAGTATGTAATTTTGTTTTGTCCAAGTTTTGATTTCTGTGTTATGTGTACAAATATAAAAACAACATTAATTTGAAGATTTTTTATCCAGACGACATTTTTTGTTATTAGGTTAAGTTAACGGGTTTTATTTAACATGTTATCTAGCCAATTAATGATGCTATCCAAACAACAGTTGACATGACACAAAAGTTTTATAGTAATAAAGGGTATAGTAACATATATAGTTTTACTGTTCCCTTAAAAAAAAACAATTCCAATGTAAAAACACAAAAATAAAAAAGAACACATTGGATTACCGATCCAAAGCAAATTCTAGATCTCTATTCCAAATTAGCACCCCTGCATTAGGCTTGAAGAGTTAAATTTGCACAATTGGTAAAGCTAGTGAATTGTTGGTGAATTGTAAGTGGATTCTATGAATCATTCATTGCCTGAGTTTTAGCATTCAATCATATGAATGAGCGTGGAACCTTCCTCACTTAAATTTCTAGAACTTACACCGTTACGGTACACCAACTTGGTTCTCTTGTAGATGCAAAACTAGTTAAGCAAAGCTCTTTCCTCAAGAGGAAGCTGAACTCTTGAATTTCCAAAAGTTACCCACTCACTCACATTTATGGAATCAAAGCCCATTCCTTTTGAGGAATCTAAATTCTTAAATCCCCGGTAGTTACACTATAGATTAACCAACACAAGTCGACTTATTCCTATCCCATTGTAAATTTTGGATCTCGTTTTTCGAGTCTAGTTCATGTCAGGTAGAACTAACAATACAATTTGCTTCAGCTGTTCCATAAAGGATGAGAAATCTACTAGGAGAGTATATTTTATCTTGTTACACCTGCTCATATTAATGCAAAACTCATTGAACGAAGTCTCCTTCTTATAAGGAAGATGGACACTTAAATTTCCATTAGTTACACCTACCTACTACATTAATGAAAAGCTGATTAAACGAAGCCAACTACTTATGAGGAAGCTGAACTTTATAATTTCCAGAAGCTACACATTAATGCAAAGCTCATTTACCAAAGAACACTTCACACCAGAAAGCTGAACGCTTGAATTTCCAGCAGTTATCCCTGTGGATTTTCTTATGACAATGAATTTATCTTCAGACATTTGTATTGGGCGAAAATGTATTCTCATTTAACAATTACTTAGGCTGTTTGCAATAGTGAATGCCCTCCCTGTATGACCGTGGTAAATAATGACCGTGGTAAATGAGTAAAGGTCTGAAAATGTCCTAAGTACAGTAAATAACCAACAGGTATCTTATAGTTATAATTATAATTTTTTATTCTTAACGGGGAAACATCAGGGTGGAATTGTATAGTTAGAAAACTAAATAAGCTAATACAATGTAAATCAACAATCTTAAGACTACAAAATCACAAAAAAGTATAGGCAATGAATGTGATATCTTACATTTTACAAATGTGAAAAACAAGTTTTTTTTTAAAGTGAAAGAAGTTAGTGAACATTGGAAATTTTTAATTTATTTCCACCAACTTTTTCAGTTGTGAAAAAGTTAGGTTTAATTTTGATGGTTAAATAATAACATATTGCTATCCAAAACCTTAAGTAATTAGCATATTTATTCATTTATTGTAATAAGTTTTTTAATTAAAGAAATTAAGTAATTCTGATTGTACCATCAATTTTGTTGGGATAGATAAAAAAGGGTACAACACAAAAAATCTACAATCTGTACCTCCTCAGCTAATTAAACATTTTGATAAAACCTCTACACAAAAACTGACCTCCACTAAGTCACTACCCTGGCAATGTTTAGAGATTTGTTTCAGAATTTGATAGCAAAAAGATAAATGATTTTCCATTCAGTGCTTGTGTCCTGATGCAATTAATCTTTCAGATAAAACTTATGACTAAAATGAGTCAACGAGTACTGTAATCTACTATGTAAACTGTAATATACTGTAAACTGTAATCGTTATTTTCAGACAATATTTTTCCTGAAAATGTTATTACACAGTTAAAAACTAACTTGGGAGTTTTCTTCACATTCTGCGAGTCTACATAATTTGGAAGTTTTGTTTGTACACATTTTAGCAAGAAACATTCCAAATTTAACTTAGTTCTTGTTGAGTACTCTTGGTGTTATGCTAGCCTAGTCATTACATTTTGTGGGTTTCATACCCTAGATATCTAAAACAAAAGGGATTAAACTGCTTTCACTTATATAAAAGATCATAGGAAAAAAAACTTGCATGATTTTTGAACAAAAAGATAAGAGATAGCCATAGTCTAATCCAAATTTTGAAGTAGTCTGAAAACCTACTGGATTGAGGAAAGGTTAATGTGGTCATCTAACTTTCAGGTTTTTTAGGTTTTAGTATAGAGTAATTTAAACGATGTGCACTACTTATGTAGATTTTCACATTATATAATACACATTATATAATATATATACAGTGCTCTTTAAAAAAAATGAAGGGCTGCAACTAACCTATTTAATGTGACTAGATAACCGGTTGCTCAAAATCAAGCTAAACTGCAACTTGTGTGTAAAACAAATAATGGAGAAAAACATAAACAGCTAGTCCTCAATCAAAGAGTTTCTATGACTGATTATAAAAATATGAAAATAATATTATGTTTTAAAAATTATAAAAGTAATCTAGAACATTTAAATATAGATCCACTCTCATAAGGCTTTGGTAATCTTTTATGTAGGCCTACTGTTGGGAGGTGCCCTCTATGAGCACTTAGATGTCAATCACATCTCAAAAAGTGAACTATTCAGACCTAATTTAGCAAGCTAAATCCCTCTCTTGACAACAACCAGTACGACACGTACATTGTTAAATGTTTCTAAGTTATGTTCTCTTTTAGGCGTGTTTAAATTACGGGCACCAACCAAAGTCTCGGGTTGGGAACATAAGAGGGCAAGAAAGTGAATCTAACGACGGATCTAGAATGCACACGCATCTATTTGCACATTTATTTAAAAATACCTTTAATTTGACACCTCAAAAATTAAAATCTGTCAAGCCGTTATCGATTTATGACGGTGAAAATAAAACTGCTTGCGTATTAATATACAGGGTGAGTTTTAATTGTCCCCCCCCCCCCCAACTTTTTTCTACATTTTTCAAATATCAATCCCAGACCACTTCCAAACATTGTTGGGTAGTAAGTACTTCATTTTGACAAGGTGGTCATTCCCGGCCGCCATCTTGGATCTGCCATATTGGGTACAAAATTTTTTTTCAAATGTAAAGGTGGGGTTGTGACCCATTATTTCGAACTAGATTTTTACCCTGGTTACAATGCCGCAAACTGTTTTTAAAAATCTTGATTGATTCTAAAGTTATGAGGGCTTTTTAAAACTTTATTTTTAGCCCATTTTAACATTGCGCATTTACAAACTAAGACCATAATCTCAAAATAGTGCCAGATAAAGATAAGTATACACTACCAGTAATTGTCAACCTATTTTCACTTGGTTATGACTGATGTATTTTTTTCGGCCGCAATCTTGGATCCGCCATTTTGAAATGTGATAAATTATTTTAAATATGAAGGGGGTGTTGTGACCCATCATATTGAATTACTTTTTTAAGCTAAACTCAATGCCGCAATCAGTTTTTTGTTATCAAGTTTTATTTATGAAATATTGCAATTTTTTTGTAAAAAATGTCAAAATTTAAAAATCAAAAAATGAAAATGAAAAACGGATGATGGAATTAAGTTCAGCTTAAAAAAGTAGTTAGAAATTATGGGTCACAACACCCCCTTCATATTTAAAATAATTTATCACATTTCAAAATGGCGGATCCAAGATGGCGGCCGAAAAAGATACATCAGTCATAACCAAGTGAAAATAGGTCGACAATTACTGGTAGTGTATACTTATCTTTATCTAGCACTATTTTGAGATTATGGTCTTAGTTTGTAAATGCACAATGTTAAAATGGGCTAAAAATAAAGTTTTAAAAACCCTCATAACTTTAGAATGAATCAAGATTTTTAAAAACAGTTTGCAGCATTGTAATCAGGGTAAAAATCTAGTTCGAAATAATGGGTCACAACCCCACCTTTACATTTGAAAAAAAATATTTTGCATCCAATATGGCGGATCCAAGATGGCGGCCAGAAATGACCACCTTGTCAAAATGAAGTACTTACTACCCAACAATGTTTGGAAGTGGTCTGGGATTGATATTTGAAAAAATGTAGAAAAAAGTTGGGGGGGGGGGGGACAATTTAAACTCACCCTGTATAGATTAGTACCTTTTTATGCCAGTATTGTTATCTTTCCGAAATAGAGGTAGGCCTACCGGAACTCCGTTCTGCTGTGAATCAATCCCTGATTATATGTAAAGGAAATTTTAAAATGCATAGTTTTAAAACAGCAAAATATACTTGTAAAAGGATTACATTATTAACGGGAAATGTAATGCATGTTTATTTTGTTAGTCTTTATCTCTGGACCAGCCAAGCCAGTAAGTGAGTCGGTGGCTCAGTCGGTAGCGTCGCGGACTTCGGGCCCAAGGCAGCGATGTCGTGGGTTCGGATCCTGCTCACTGCCGATAACATTTTATCAGTACAGTTCACCTTCGTACTGTACCGGCTCACTCCTTGCTTTGCTGTAAACGATCCACGCACGGGCCCTTAGTCTATGTGGACGGGCAATTGCAAGGTTAATAGAGGGCGCCAACCTCTTTTTTTTTAAGTAGCTATCTAATACTATTATATATTTACACACAATCTTCCACACTCAAAAATCAAACACAGGTGTAACTAAATAAATATTTATTTCACAGTTATTGGTCACAAATTAGGTGTAATCACAAAAGTACCAGTATTGATAACAATAATATTACAATTTCCACTGCATACCTTCTTGCTGAGTGAAAACTAAAATTAACAATTTTTTTTAAGAATATCTTTTTCATAAAAAAATATACATAGGCTACAAACATCTTCTATTATATTAAAAATAAACAAATTTTACAGTTTTATACATTTTCTCAGAATGGTTATAATTAGATATACAATATTTTAACATTCTTACATTGATTCATTTTGTTTTTAAATTAAAGATGCAAATTAAAAGATTGATTTCTCAACACCAAGAAATCTATACATCAACATTTTGAATACCGGTACCACACCTTTTAAGAAAAAAAAAACAATTTTTTTATTTTTATTGATCAAACATTTCAGATTAACCTTCATATACTTTAAAAAGTTTCAAGACCACAACAGTTGACAGTCTAAATATAAATAAATTTATGTATTTCAATATAATACAATATTTAAGTATCAGGTGAATTTTAAACATTATGTAGGCTAATTACTATTTCTTATATTACAGACAAAATTGTTGACCCCAAGACAAAAGGTTATAAAATAAAATTTAGGGTTATACTTTCGGAATGTTCAGAGTTTAAAAAAGAAAAACACATTATTTTGTTACTTGTAATGTAACATAACACATATTGAGTATTGCAAAGAGAATGGTAACTTTAACAGTTAAAATGTAACAAACAATGTATTCATAAAATTACTAAACTAGGAAATAATTTTCCTACCAGGATATCCCTACTTCTAAGCCCTTTTTAGTCAAAACAAAACTATTACACAGCCAAGATTTTGTTTTTGTTTTAACACTACACACTACCATTTATATTACATCTCAGTCTTACTCCCAAAACGAGCATTTGATACACAATTCAAACATAAATTCAACAATCAATTCAAACAATTCAATCATCAATTCAAACTGATTCAATAAAATAAGAAGCATATTCATATAAGAAAAAAGTTTAAGCTTTTTAAAATATAAAGCTTTATAGTAAAGCTGTAAGTAATAATAGCTACAGGCTACAGAGCTGTGGTCTGATTTTGATGACATTTTGTACGAGGTATGTATAGTAGACTATCTCAAGGCGATCATTTTCATTTTTGAAAATTTTGATTGGTAATGGCGATTTTCTTATAAAATTATATTGGTTTAAATTAGGTATGTTATGGCTCTTTAAGCTTATAACAAAATGGTACAACCGTAAAAATTAAGGTTAAATAGTTTTGCAAATGTTGTGATTTTTTCATAACATGTCATAGTTAAGATGTTATATTAATATGTTCATTGCACATGAAATTAACTTTTTAACTTTTATTGTACTTCCTTAACATCACATTATACTTTTGTTGATAAAGCTACTTGGATGTAAAAACACTAAAAGTTTACTGGACTCAAAAATAAACTAGGTATGGAAGCAAGATGTAGGCCCAAAGTAACAAATTCAATAAATGACTATAAAATCAAATGTTTAAATTTGTTTTTATGTCAAACTTAAACCAAACCACAGTTTTGTTTGATAAAGTATATCTTCAAAATGTATTTTTTAAATGGACTATTTCCCCCAGAAGAGCTATTCAAAAATATCATATCTGTACTATGTGTCACTAACCCAACTTGTCTACAACTTGCCTACAGAGGCAAACAAAGAAATAAGCACCATTTACTAGCTTTTATCACTCACTTGATCATAAATTAAACGTACTCCCTTGTAGTTTTACAATCCTGATGGATTTGCTGAAGAAAATGTTATATTATGTTTTGTCTAGGGCAGCTCAAGTTCTATGATGTTTTCTATTTATTTATATTACCTTTATTCCTTTAAAATTATCACTTAATTGATCTTGTTTCTTTGTGACATCAAATAAAGAACAGGGATCATTATAAGATAACAAATCCAATAAAAAATGTGCAGTCAAAACTGAACGCAGCGAGGATGTAAACTTTCTCTCGACTAATTCAACAAGTGCTAGAGAACTTCCAACATTTCATGTTCTAGTTGTTTTTCTAGGCCACTTCATGCAAATCGAAATAAGAAGGTTACAATACCTGAAGACTGCCTATAGTGGTTATGCCTGTTGGATATTTAAGGACCACTATAGGCAGTCTGCAGGTATTGTAACCTTCTTATTTTAACTTCCAACATGTTCAAACTGTTGATATGTCCTGTAAATCCACTATAAATAACATTGAGCAAGCTTAACAATGATCAGATCAGGTACAGAGAGCAAATTCAGGTTCAGGGGAGAACATTCGTTCCAATGTCTGCACCAGGACGACTCCTAAAACAAACGTTCCGACAGCTACGAAGACGACGGCGATGGTGACATACCACTGCATACGTGCGGCCATCAAACATGGATCTCTCTTCAGACAGGTTTGAAGCAGACAGAGGCCTGAAATAAGGAAATTTTAACTGAAACAGTAATCATAAAGAACATTTTCTGAGCTTTTAATAACTTTCTGACCCATGCCCAAGAACAGCCATTGTTGTTTAAGAAAACATTACTAGGTAATTTTTAATATTTTTAGTAATTTAGAAGTGGTAGAAAACGGGACATTGGTCCCTGAAGTTCCAGGTTCAAATCTCATCAATCCATTATCTAAGTTATGCCGCCACCTCTAAGTCTAACCTGAAGTAATGTGAACGAGTTTTTAAAATTCATTATGACGTTGGTTCTGAAATGTCATTATTTGTTTGCACTTTTTCAACGTTTCTTGTGTTAAAAACCACACGTTTCTTGACTACCCAACCTGGTTCCGGCCTGCTAACTTGATGGCGGAGTGTAGCGTCAGTTTATAGTGTTTTCAAAGTCTGGCCAGCAGACCCCTAATAAATAAGAGAAAGAAATGGGGAGAAAAATGTGAATACCTGGGAAGATGAAGATAAACACTGCTGCCAGGCTTCCAAGGGCATCAATGACAATACCGATACCCGGCGCTACAACTGCCAGCAAGATAGTAGCTATGAGCCATACTGATGATATGACTATCCGGCGCAGCTTCTCCTTACAGGGGTCCCAATCATGTATGATGCCACACCACACGTTAGTCACTGCTTCCCTAAACAGCCAAAATGTTTAATTATTACCTGGCTATCACCATAGACTACTGATTGGGTGGTAATCTAAGAAACTGTAATCTAGTAACAGAATGACAGAATTAATGGTGTAACTTACTGGTGAATGTATTATACATATAGATTTTCTTTTCATGAAGTAACACATCTCGGTTTGATATTATTTTATAGATATTTTGTAAATTATAATATTCAGTACCACTGTAATTATTGTTAAAATTTGTCTTAAACGTTTTGAAGCCTAGAATGATTCTATTTTGCATAAAAAAATATAATTAAAATATACCTAGCTAATTACTCTTTCTTAACCAAAGTTCATTCCATCTTTGAAGTAATTCCCATCACATCCAGGTAGCAGTTTACACTAAGCTACTTTACGACATTACCAACCTTCCACAAAACAGCAGTATTGGATAGGTGGTGACTGTCTTCACTGCAATGGCCACAATTCCAACCAGCACGGCCACTTTCTCTGCTCCGTAGTCTTGTAAAATGTCGCTGGACACATGACTGCCAAACGTTAGGTAGCCGTAAGTCCCTGTCAGACTATACGCAAGTCCGCAGATCACCAGTGTAGTCACCACCACGATGGTGAATGAGGAGGTTCGTCGATCTCGCATGCACGAGTAGATTGGTACCACACTCACGTGACACTGGAAACATTGACAGAACAGAAATGATAGTGAATAATGATTTCACTTAATCACATATAACTGAGCCAGCAAGCAGCAACAAATATTGCCAATCCTGCAACCATTGTTACTTTCTAACAATGATTGAATTCAAGCAAACTTATACATTGAGATTTGATCTAAAGTGACATTGACAAGATTGCTCTGCCTAGCTTGTTTCTCCTTCATAAACACTTTACAAGGGTTTCCATTTTTTTTACAACCATATGTTGTTAATAACTAAGTTGTAAATATTTTGTTAATACGATTATTTTCTTCATCTAATATTTATTTAGCTTGAAATTTTGCAACTTTTAAGCTTATCTAAATTGCCCAGAGTATCTATTACGTCAAGACAGAATTTGGTTCTACAAGCAGTAGTGGTTTATTTTTATCAACACAACAAACCCCACTATTTGCCAGAGAGAGTGTTTTAAGACAACAAGATGCACCCAACCTACCTGATAGCCAAAGCAGATGACCGGGACAACATAGAACACATCTGTCCAGTGGGTGGGAGATGTTTTGATGGGGCCTGGGATAAAATCTCCGGTGTAATGTTGGACCACAACAAGGCCCACGACGTACAACACCGCCAAAACACCAAGCGAGCTGGCAAAAACAACACTGCTAGTTGGAATACTGAATGTAATAATTTTAGGAACAGGCTGCTAATAAGACAAACAGCTGTAGCGCTCAATAGCCTAATTCTAAGGATATCCATCCATATATAAATTCCAAAGTACCCATTAACTTTTGAGAAAACTACAAGTCACACCCCCATAAACCATATACTTAAAATGTTCATCATGACGAGAAACCTTCCATTAAACAGAAGCCCTTTAAGGTCGTAATTCCTTTCTAAAACAAACTTTCCATATACCTAATGTTAAAAATACCTCAGCTGTACTTATTGGTTTGTTATTCTTTCAATTTATTACATTATTAAAATCAGGTGTGATTATTTATTTGTATTACTCTTATTAAAATCAGGTGTGATTATTTATTTGTATTACTGTATTCTGTTTTATTTATTTCAGCTTTCAGCTTAACTTAACCAATCAAGAATTTTATTACTACAGTACTACTTATGAAGTCAAACGGGGTGAAGCCCGTGAGTAACACCTAGTTAACTAATAAAGATGAGATTAGATGAGATTGGAACAGGCTATGAATATTTTATTTTGAACTCTTTTGTTTTCTTGATTTCATTTTTTGTAATGGTAATTTTGTGTGGCTCAAAAAGTTGTCACAGACATTCCCATCAATTATGTAAAACACAAGTTTTATAAAATTGTGGTATGTGAAATTTATGAGAAGATTAGTATGCAACCTGGAGAACATAACAGCTGACAACAAAACATATTTAGAGCAGTCAAGACAAAAAGGAAAATATTGAAAGAACAAAAACGGATCAATCAATACTGGCCAGTGAGCAGGCAATCAAAACGGATAGACTCCGTTTATCGTAACGAAAACGTTTTTCTTACACAACGGATTTAATTAATCGCAAGTGCAATAATATAGTGTAACCTTAATGAAAAACATGTTTTAGTTTAATCATTGGATTTAACATATGGACCAACACGATCCGGGTAACATTTAATTGTGAAGCATTTGTTTTGGCTTGAAACTGTCAGATAATGTATTTGCTAAGGTTTATATATAATAGTTTTGCCAGCATATCTGAAAATATGCAAACCAACTGCTGTTCTTAATATAAGAAGGTTTCAACTGAGGACTACGATAAGATCCCCGTGCATAGAACGGGCACACAGCTAGTATAGAATGAAAGCCACATTTAATCCACTGGTTTATAATTTGTGTACCTCTGTGTGTTCATTTTCTGATTGTAGAATGATTATTTTTGGTTTTGGGTTGTATAGTGTTGTAATGTCTAATGTACCATGCTGTTCTCACTAATTAAATCAAGTATTTGTTACTGTGTATTTATTCTAAATTATTTAAAATCTTCTTATTAATAAACCAGTATACTCAACAATTAATTACAATATAGACATTAGGTTGTTAAACACAAGTCATGTCATGTTGTTAGGTTTTAATGAGTTTGTTATTAGGTTTAGGTTTAGTATTCACGTTAAAAAGTTTGTGAAGTTATCTCAAATCATGACAAGATTAGATTCCAAACCCTTAAGTCTTGTAAAATTAGTTTCATTACAAATTATGATGTAATATACAATAATTACTCAATAAGATCAACACCAACAATGAACTTTGAAGAAAGAGTATGGTTAAACAATAGTAGAACCACTGAGATTAAGTTATCTGGGTTTTTTGTAAACATAGATTAGCTTGTTTACACTCTTCGTGTATGCCCCAACTCTGCATTAGATTTATTTGAGTGTTATTCTAGGTTGAGTGACTAAGCAATTGTCTAGGTAAAAAGTCCAGGAACGGCATTTTGTTTTTTGAACCATCGGAGATAATACCACAAAGCTTTGCAAACAACTACAATATGCCTGAAAATCCATTTTATCAACAAATATTAATTATTGATTATTCCATTAGACTGTGGACGGTTCACTAGGAGTTGGAAGTACAAGAAACAACAAATTAGCTTTGTTGAACAAGTTTAAATTCTTTTTCTTAAACCTGCTTTAAAAATAGAAACAACAATGTAGGGAAACATCATTTGTAAACTGTTGTTCACATTATATGCTGCTGCCAAAACTATACTTTCCTATTATTTTTCAAAACTTACAAATGAATAGAATAATATTATGTAGGCCTACCAATGTAAAAATGTATGTGAATTTACAGTAAATTGTACTTTCAGTTTGGCTTTTGTAAAAAGTCTGTGAGATAAAATCAGTAACCAACAGCAGCATACTCTGACGGAGGCTAAACTCAACTAGGGCCTGTATTCATTTTTATTCTTAAACTTGACAAAATTTTTAAATGTTAATGGAATGTCTATTGCTCTCTGTAGCCAAGTAGAATATCAAATAGTCCTACCTTGCATATTTCAAGAAGTCAATTTTCCTCGAGTAGCACAAAGGAAGGATGAATATGGCTGATGAGGCAGTAATGGTAAACTGACGATTCATAAACCAAGTGTGGCAGAAATTAGGCCCGACCAAAGACATAAGGACTGAAACATTAAATTGCTGGTTACAAGACAAATTTTTAACTATCATCTAGAAATAGAATAATATAGATAGTAAACTATACTACGGTCCGGGAAGTAAGTTAGGCGATTAAGGTATATTCATGATAGTTCCTGTGCAAGTGCTGTAAACACCTTCTCGGGTCACGTACGATACTTTTTGCCACACTAACAGCAACAAGTTTTCACATAAAGTTTTTTTTGCTAATTCAGACATGGAGATTAAAAAGATATTACCTTACTAATAGTTCTATTATTTTACCACTCATGCCCATTTTGTTATATTCAGGCAAACGATAACATCTAATTTCTTACAACTTAGGTATTACTTCATGTGGAATGCCACAATAGGCCTATTCTGTGTTGTCAATTGTGATGGATCTTCTGTGATGAATTAATTCATAAATAATCACAATACTCTAAATTATGGCAATTGTCGATAGATGAGTGTTTACAACAAACAAATATTAGTATTGCTGCGATGGTCGAGTCTATTATATTATGTGTGCGGGGGGTAGTTTTGTCCTAGAGCTTTGTTTTCAGACCAAAATCAAATAACAAATTATTTTTCCTACAATTACCTGACAAAGTGGGCTTTCTTGTACTGATTATAGCACGCAAAGTAGCTATAATTGTTGCATTTACATACTTTTGCCGTGGGCAATCATTTTTTTTCTACATTCCAGTATTCCAACCAAATGACAAAAAACAGTAGGCCTATGCTTTTATTAAGGACGTAATAGTGGAGCTTGAAAATAAATTGGCAGCACTTAAAAACTGTAGGAAAAATATAATGTGTAAAACGAGTGCAAATTGCCTTTGCTGCACTCTGAAAGTAATTCCGTTCGAATTACATGGCTTGAATGTAATTTCCTTTGATAATGATAGTTATTAAGATAAATTTTATTTATTACCGTATAGGTATTGGAAAGTTTGATTTGTCTTCCACTCAAATTATCCCTTTCCCATCCAGGTAAGCCTACAATTAATTCTAATAACAATACCTAAAACCTAGGCGCTGGTTTACTATTTTACACCAATAAATCTACCTAGTTTTCTTTTACCTCGATCAAACTGATCACCAATAATGATAAGGAAGGTGACACAAGTTCCAAAGCAGTAAAGTGCGATCAGCAGTGAGCAAAGAAGAGATCCCTTAGAGCCACAAGTTCCTGCGACCGTGTCGTAAAGAGTGGCTGCATGTACGTGCCATGAGGAGTGAGCTAGGACGAGTAGGCCAAAACATACACAACAGACCAACACCTAAAACATACCAGAGTGAATAAAATATTGCTTATAGTTATAGCTTACAGTTGACTATCAATAATTCAACTCTTACGGGACCGGTAGGATTTCTGATGGCAAGAAAACGTTGGATTACCAAAAAACATAGGCCTAGCAACATAAATCAATGGACTTAATGTAAAAAATTCAACTTATGAAGCCATAGTGTAGCCTATTTGATGGTTATTGAGTGTTCAATTAATGAGTTTTAAGACATTATTGCACAGTAATGATTATTGAATACAACAAAAATTAATTCAACTAAAATTTAGCTTGTTAAAATTCCCATACAGCTCTATCTCTTAGCTTGAATAAAAGTAAGTGAAATCTGTGCTGAATTGAATTGGATCTCACTGACATAACATAAGTTTAAATGCAACAAAATCAGGTTAGTCTAATCAACAAACAATAAGCAAGGCAGAGTTTAGAAATGACGCTATTCTACACCCAATAAACACCGCTATTTACTGTAGGCTAAGGTTTATGAAATCATTACTAAAAGGACCCAAGAGTTCGATCGCATCACAAATTTCGGTGTGTCACAAGAATCTATCCTTAAACCTCTGCTCTTTTAACTTTACGTCAATGACATAAGCTTGGCATTGGTCAACTATTAAAACCACATGTACCCTGATGACTTTCTAATAAGTTTTATATGACCATTTTACTGTACAACGGAAACGACTGTGACAGTCTCAGAATGATCAATGGAAAAGTCAATCTAATTTGGACCAAAAAAATGGACTGAGACTAAATCATGAGAAAACAAAACCACTTAAAATTTGCCATTCTCGACTTCGCACTTCAATTGACTTTGAATCCATAAACCCAGTCACATTGAATGGCAAACAAAGCACTTTCATCAAATACCACAAAGTAAAGAATTTTCGAATATCATTCAACTCTTATTCACTTCAAGGTTGGCAGTTATGAACACGCAAAAAGATTCTTTTCCTCCAAAAATTCACTGAAAAAATTACCGAGTTGTTTGCCACATTACCCTTACTACACTTGGGGGTAAGCTATGCGCTTGCTTAATTTGCTTTGCTTCTTTTGATTTGTCTTTAGGGAAATTCCCTAAAGACATGGTAAGTAGACTTGAAATTGATTTATCTTTTTTGTTTTGTTGAGGTTCCCAGAGGCCAAAAACACCCTCTGTTCAAATACATTTTATATATGCATATATGAGTCCATCACTGAGATAACTCAAGCAAAAATGATCAGATTTTGAAGGATTTTGGTAAAAACTTTAAACCTACATTTATTTGAACAAGCTTACGAACCGGTATGATCTGGTACCAATGACTATTGGTACGTTGGTTTGTGGGGGGTTTTATGGGGTAAAAATTGGTTTTCCCCAATTTTCGGCTGTAAAAACATAAAATTTCACAATCTCTTTTATAAACCTTTTTTTGGTGCCTTGAAAATGAATGATTTTGTATATTGAAGTGTTTATTCCTAAAGATAATTTTTAAATTTATAAATTTAAAATTCCCAAGTTATTCTGATGAAAAATAAAAAGTTGGCTTGTACCGAGTTTGTTGTTGGATACCGGTCCGGTAGGCCTATATTTTAATCATATTTGGAACTTTTTTTATTTCATACTAAGCTAAGCCTATCAATATTTTAATAAATAAGCACGCCTCATTACCTTCCCTGTAGCCAGCAAACCTAAGAACTCTTTAATGTTATTTGAGGACATTAAAACTGACAATTTTAAGGGAATATTTTAGTAGAAATGTAGCAAGGTAAAATGGAAATTCACTTAGTCTGCAGGTTTTTTACGGCGGGGGTATTTTTTATAACAGAGTTGTCAAGTACTTACTTACTTACTTGTCAAGTAAAAAAATGTATAGGCCAATTAGTTTTCTTTATTTCAGTGAAGTAAAGTGTAAGAAAGGAAAATGTAGCTCTAAATTGGTCTGTATAAATAAAGAATTTATCATTTAATCTCATTTCAGAAATGAAATTTAAGTACAGATGATTTATACACATACTTGGGAATAACGAATAGAAATTCTATCGAATAGCACTATTCATTAGTTTTTTTGGCTAACTTCTATTTTATTAGTTTGTTTTTAAATTAACCAACTAATAACTTCTATCAGTTACTTTTTACGGGACTAACTAATAACTTCTAACTAGTTAGAATTTTCAACTAACTTTCCCAATTATGCAGAAGCATCTCAAATACTGGTTATTTATTTCACGTGATCAGTGAGGGTTGCGTGCGGCCGTGAGAGGTTAGTGCCCTTGTAGACAAACAACGCGGGGGGGTGGGGAAAGAGAAAGTCAAAGTCCAGTTGCTTTGGAATGCAGTGGGCCTGTGGAAGGGTAGTGACGACCATTATCAACACCCCAAGCACTGATGGGTGGGAAGGGGAAATGTTTGTTTGGTGATTGATATATCATCTCAAGTGTCAAAACATTGTCTTTAGTCGATGTTCATTATCTGACAAGTTTTATGTCATTTGTTTATGTTGTAGTAATGTAAAATGTGACAATGTTTGATTAAAACACAAGTACCAGGGGACCGATCTTGCTCGAGGTGTTTGATTTGTTCAAGAGGTAAAAAATAGAGCTTATAAGCCTACAAATAATTTCAGTCTTACTACGATTAATTAAGTAGTAAAGTCAATTCGTTTTTGTTAGATATCCACTTATCACCAATTTAGTCTACAAAACCTTTTAATTTGGACGATCAATCTATAAAATGTCCACAATAAGCTTCAATCGATATTAAACTCATGATACATAACATCTGTTATCTAACGACCGTTATTGCATTAAGTCACTGGGATCGTGGAACGTTGCAACTACGGGATGGTGTAATAACGCATCAATTCGTGCGGTGCATCGTCGAAAAATACAAATCTCCTTGGCCTTTCCTCTAGATTATTAGTTCAATGTCAGTGTATATTGTTTTGCAGTAAAACACAATGTTTTTGAACAGTCGTAATTATCCCTTTGGTTAGTAAGACATCATACAATGCAAATGTATTATACAAGCAATTTTCAATAGCATTAAAATTGGAGGAAATCGTAGGAGCCATTTTTTAAATCATATCTTGCGCAATCTTTACTCATATTACAGTATATATTAGTAATCAAGATGTCACATTAAAAAATACTTTAAAACAACTGCCCAACAAACAACTAATTTCTACTAAAACTAACTTTATTTTCTATCAGTTAGTTTTTCAACTAACTAATAACTTCTATCAGTTACTTTTTAAACTAACTAACTTATAACTTCTATCAGTTACTTTTTACGGGACTAACTTATAACTTCTAACTAGTTAGAATTTTTGACTAACTTTCCCAACTATGTTTATACAAACACAATTGGTCTTTGGGTCTTACCAACTGGACCAGAAGTGCTACAGTAATCCCTCCTGCTTGGTCAAATGCTTGAGGAAAGTTGAGAAGGCCAGCTCCTAAAGCAGCGTTCACCAGTAAGAAGACAGCAGCTAGGCGACTTGACTCTCCTGAGAAAAGAGATTCAACTGTTATGTTAAGGTGATCCTACTTCTGAAGTGTGCGATTGTTTAAAACAAAGGATCCAATATCTATCTATATATTAATAGGCAAGCATGTTTCTTTAAAACCTTTTTTCTCAGCTCGTGTGCATCGCAGGGAACATCTACGCATACTGTTGGAAAGATATTTTACTGTAGATGTGCAGAATGCCTTTAAAAATTAAAATAGGCTAACAAATAAGCACAAAAAATGAATTTGAAAACTTCAAAAAATTAACATGGACCATATGGGTTGCCATGATGGTGACGAAATAACAACAAAATGTAAACAGAAAATCAAAACAAAGGGAAGAAATTCCAATCACATGTTTTATTTACAGTGTGGGGAGAAAATAGAGAAGTCTGTACATTAATATTTTTTGGTCGAGTTTCGACCACAGGACGACCACTAGTATATATTATTAGCTGAAAAAATACTCTTCTAGTTACAATGATTGAATGGAAAATCGCAAAAGTTACCTTCTCTATGCCGAAATGCATTCATTTGTCTTGACTTACTGCAAACTAGCTATGCAGCTATATTTTGTTCTATAACAGACAAAAGCGAGCACAGCTGGTCAAAAATTTGTGTAGTAGGCCTACAATATTTTTGTTCGGGAAAACCCGGGTTACAATTTCGCAAATGACCAATAGCTAAAGCTCTGTGACAATGCTGCAAAAAGTTCAGAGTCTACCTTAGGTACTTTGGTATTATACGGAGGCCACCCTTGTACAGTGTGCTGCTGCGGTTAAGTCAAGTCGGGTTAGCCCATCATAAATATGTTTGTAGAACTGTTCTCATTTTGTTATGAATCGAAAGATACCAGATGAGTCCTACTTTTGCCCGCCAAATCCCCTCCACGTAGGCCAAGGTCAGGTTGTTGACAGGAGCGAGTGCATCACCTGTCACCGCCTGGGTCGGTGTCCTGGAGTAATGTCTCATCTGATATTGTTCTCTTCATAATGAAACTAGGAAGGTCCTAAGAACATAGCTTATTTATGACGACCCTACCTAACACAACCGCCGCAGCACGCTGTATACCTACTTGGCGGAGTATAGCGGCGGCGACGCATTCAACTCAATTCTGGGAGGCAGAACTCAAAAGGCCGCTGATTGTAATCAAGTCAGATTTGTACAGTAAGTTAAGTCAATTATAGTATTTTCTTTCTAATTATGCAGTTATTTTCAGTCTCCGGTAAAAAAATCCCTCTAAAAAAGTGGCCTCCGGAAAATACCATAGTACCCTACCGTACCTTAAGCTGTATATAGATAACGAAAATAGGATAGGTTAACTTTCTATGATATTAAACTATGTAAGGATATATGATCGATAACTTAAATAAGTTGTTTAAACAACGAAACTGATAAAATTATGAAAATTACTCTCGTCATTTAATCAACTAAGGTTATTTCAAAAGACAAAAAACAACATGGGTGTAACAACAATAAACAACCCGATTGCCGATAACCTACACTTTACCTTCTTAGTCTAATCATTGACTATAAGTTATATCTTACCATGTCAATGGTCTAATCTAACTTAACTTAAGGTGAGTTGTGCAAACTGAACAATAACCTCACTTCTTGTTCCTAGCTTAGGTGTGTGAGGCGCGGAGCCTTGAAAAAGTAGTTTTGTATATTTCCGCAATTTTCAGTGGTTTCCGAGCCTTAAAAAATGTTTAAAGGTATTTTATCGTTTAATAAGTTAGTTAGGATTGTAGGAAAGGTTCAAGTTATGAAGGTTTAGAAGAAAAGTCCAGAAAGATCAGAAATACCAAATGAAGTTCAAGGGCAAAGAGTAATAAGTTACTATAACGTAGGCTATTGCAGGTAAGGCTAGTTTTAGGCCTACTTACCTCTTTCTGATATAACTAGGCCAGCAATCGAATCACTAGAACTGGATGTACTTGATGTTATTTCATCATTCCCTCCTGCCACAGAGTTGCCATTATGCCTTGCATTATCAATAGTACTCAAAACACTGTCCATACTTGGTTGATAAGGGTAAGAACTATCCAGACTTTCAATCTCATGACCATCATCCATTTTTTGGCACTAAGTTAACTTATTAAGTTAATATTTGTTACCAAGTCTATGTGAGGATCATAGTAACCAAACCAATGTTGTAAACAACGGATATGCATGAGAAAAATTAATAGGCCTAAAGCTTTTACATTGATATCACACGAAGAGGTTAATCACCTTGCTGCAAGCAATCGCTGACACTATGTTTATTCACTATAAAGTTAGTTGATTGTGATGAATGATGATACGTCTTGGGTTCTTTTCTTGTTGTCTCGTCTTCTTTTTCTTGACAGTCGACTCGACAGCGTGACAGTGACGAGTGACAGTTACTGACTGACTGACTGAGTTCAGTTCAGTGAGAGTGTTCCTATAGCGTCTAGATACTCAGAGCAACGAGTCGGCTCACCGGAGCAAGACAAAATGAGAGCATTCTATTGGCTGAGGGAACCGCAACGATACGGTTTGGAGCCATCGGCCTCGGTGGTCAAATGGATAGCGTGCCGGGCTGAGAATCTGATGGTACCAGGTTCGAATCCCACCGATGGCATAAACTTTTTGTCTAAGATTATTGCATGATCAGCAAGTTTGTTTAGTTTTGTTAGGTTATGACAGTTTAATTTTATAATTAAAGCCTTATAAAATTGAATTTGAGCTATTTATAGTTTTATTTTATGAACTGAGAACTTATTTTTTCGATTAGTAAACATTCATTCAATTTGTTCATTATCAGCAAGTTTGGTTAGTTTGGTTAGGTTATGACAGTTTAATTTTATAATTTAAAAAATTATAAAATTGAATTTGAGGCACTTATAGTTTTATTTTAAATAAATAAATAATAAATAAAAATGCCTTTATTTACAAGCGAGTTTCATATACATGATTTTCAAACTTACTCAAGTCAAACTAAAACCATAGATGAAGTAATTCATCTATGCTAAAACTAAACTAACCTAATATATACAGAAATTTAATATACAAAAAAACTACAAAGAAAAAACATTTACAATATTCAGATATTCTGAAGCCAATATTCATATTTTATGAACAGAACTATTTTTTCGATTAGTAAACCTTCATTCAATTTTTTCATTTTCAGCAAGTTTGGTTAGTTAGGTTAGGTTATGACAGTTTCCCCTAATGTTATAATTAAAAATTAATTTTATATTTTTTTAGTTTTATATTTTTTTTATTTCTAATTTTAAACTCTCATTTTGTCCGTATTAAAAAACTGCAGCTGAAATAAAAATTGTGCAGCCCCGACTGTCGCTCCGGTGAGCCGACTCGTTGCTCTGAGTATCTAGACGCTAGTGTGAGTTCCGTTTCGTCATCGTTCGTAAATTATTACCAGCTGAAATTAAATCAACTGAGAAAGCAAGTGACCAACCTAAATAACTACTGTAAAAGCAGTATCTGAGTGGAAGGGTGGAGAACCCATAGCGTCGTAAATCCTTATAACGTCGAAACCCAACTATAACGTCGCATCCCCTACCTCTTCAAAGGCCAGTCCTATTCTGTAATCTATTCCACTAATAGTTTTAAGGACAGCCTTTAAAATATTGACTATTGGATAGGCCTACTGAAGTTGTATTAATAGTCGAAGCCTTAAAATATTATGTATTGTATACACTGGTCACTGGGCTAGAAATATTTATGGAGATAGCAATGAATGAGGAAATTAATATTGTGAGACGATGTGCCATAGATTTAACATACTTCCTTTAGTCAATTTGCCACCCTAACGGAACAGCTGAGGACAATTATTTATTGTTATGCTGCCTTCTTATTTCTTATTACTATATAGGATCACCGTCCTGTACAAGTCGCAGCTTCGCAGCCAAGCACGTCCCTTCACACATGGTAGCTGCCAGCTTGGGAGATGTATAATCAATTTTGCCATCAAGTGCTGCGACCTTTGCGACCTTCTCGGAAAAAAAGTACACTGTTTCGTGTCGTATGATTCATTTGCTAAGATGGAATCAACTGTTGTTGCTTTTTTCCTCGTCAAAGACTGAAAGACCTTTCGATCCTTTCTTCGCTTTTGATTATCTAGCTTTTTAGTACCTACTTATTCCATAAATGTATTAATTGTCATATTCATCCAAATAGGCTATTATTGCTAACAAGCAGGAGTAATTCATCCATATTATTGTTAAGGTGGAACGAGCTGGTCTGGTGATAGAGCTTGGGACTTCGGTCTTGAGGTCCCGCCGGGTTCAAATCCCAGGCCAAATAACCAATGTATTTTATCTAAGTGATGATACCTTAACCCTTTAGGTCTAGCCTGAAGTAATGTAAAAAACAATCCCGAGCTCGGGAGTTAAAGGCGGCTGGGGCTCGTGCCTAACGTCCTAGGGGAAAATATTGTAAATTAGCAACTAAATTTAATTAATTCTACGTAAACTAACTAAAAACAAACATAATAATAGCAACTTACGTCAATCAATCCAGTATGTTTATGGAGGACGCACGTTTCGACCTTTAGGTCATCTTCTGCTCCGCTTTTTTTTTCACTAGGTTGTTACGTACTTAGTTGCATTGTTGGTGTAGCAACCGCGTCAAATAATTTACATTGTGAAACATAGTCAGACCACGTAAACATAAAAACACAAAACACGACATTGACGAATACGAAAACATTTAAAATACTATCACCGTGCGCACGGCTGAACGGGCTCGGGGGGGGGGGGCACTCAGCCGCCGCAAACCATTCTGTGGCCCTATTGATACCATGAACAACAGAATTTTTGAGGTTAGATATATCTCTACCAATACTAAGCATTGTCGTATCATCTGCATATTGAAAAACATTTCCATTTAAGTTACAAGGTAGATCATTCACAGCAATAAGAAACAACAGCGGGCCAAGTACAGACCCCTGGGGAACGCCACAGTTGCTAGTAGCAATAGAGGAAGTCTCTCCTCCTATGCAAACCACCTGCCTTCTATCCGCGAGGTAGGTCTCAAGGAGACTGAGCGCACCACCATGGATCCCGTAATACTGCAGTTTGCGCAGTAGGATGCCATGATCAACACAGTCAAAAGCCTTACTTAGGTCGACAAACGTGGCCCAAGCATAGTTGCCGCTCTCAAAAGCGCTCAAGACTGTGCGGACCATGCCATCAACAGCACCCATGGTAGAGCGACCAGCCCTGAAACAAAACTGATGTTGATTAAAAAGTGAGTTGGATTCAAAAAACTGACTGATTTGATCATAAATTACATGCTCAAAAATCTTTGCCAAGACAGGAACCAGACTTATGGGCCGATAACTACCCACATTATTCCTATCACCTTTCTTAAATTTAGGAATGATTTTGGAAAGTTTGAGACACTCGGGAAAGTGTCCCTCTAGAAGACAAGTGTTAATGCTATAGGTGAGAGGTACAATGATTAGGTCAGAAACCTCCTTTACTAACCAGTTAGAAAAGTCATAATAGTCCCTACTTTTGCTATTTTTCATTTTACCTATTATTGACAAAATGTAGTCACAAGAGACAGGGGCAAAGCTAAAATTCTTATTACTAACAGGGAAAGCACTTAAGAGGTCATTAAAATTAACATTTGGGCGATTAATTTCAGATCTAACTTTGTCGACAGAGTCAATCAATGATTTGTTAAAAGCATTTGGATCTATAGGTACATTTACTAAGGAGAGGTTAGATTGACAGTTCTTTTTAACAATTGACCAGGCTGTTTTACACTTATTATCAGAATTTTCAATAAGTTTAGCGTTATAGACAAGTTTTGCATTATTTACAGCTTTCTTATACTCTTTCTTTAAGTTACAATAGTCAGAATTTAAAAAAGGTGAGAAATTATTTTTAAGTTTGTCATAGGCTACATCTAATTGATCCTTGAGAACACTAAGGTTGGCAGTGTACCATCTTTTATTTGGCTTTACATTACGATTCGTTTTTGTATTACACTTGTTCAGAGGAAAACAGATATCTATTTCATGCAAAAGAGTACTATTAAGTAATGCAAAAGCTTTACCTGGAGGCTGGGGAAAGTGGGTTGGAATGTTTAGCTCAGCTTCCCAGTCAATATTTTGGAGTCTACATTTAAAAATATCACAATTTTGCTTTGAGAAAGACCTTTATACACGGATGTTAGAGTATGAGAAGGCACTGACTCACTATCACACACAAAATGTAAAGATAGTCCATCATGATCCGAGAAGTGGAATTGCTTGACAGCACAGTAGACATTCTCTTGGCCGATTTTTGTGAATATGTTGTCTAGGCAGGCAGTCCCACGTGTGGGTAGGTTGTTCTGATGGTATAAGTTGAATTGCCTAAGGAGATGAAGAAGTTCCGTGACAGATCTTCGTGCTGAAGTTACATCGAACTGTGCATTAACGTCACCACCAATAACTATATGAAAGTCACGCCACTTTGAGAGGTAGTTAAGGACTTTTTCTAGGGTGTTTAGGAAAGACCATTCATCGCTGTCAGGTGTACGGTATATCGAGATTATAAGTAGTTTATGAGCTCTGACTATAGCTGCACTAGCTTAAAAAGTTTTTTCTGCGCAGAACTTGGATAGGTCAATCCTTTCACATTGATGTTTCTGATGGGCAAAAATTAGGGTGCCCCCTCTACCTTGCGAAGTCCGTGAAAAATTGCTGACTAAGTTGTAGCCTGAAAGCCCACAGAGATCGATATTGTCACTTTTAACCCAATGTTCGGACAAGCAGATAAAATCATAACTATGAAAGTCTTTTTCAAGGATTAGGTGTTTATCGCCCAAACCTTGTATGTTTAAAAAGAGAAACGTCAATACAGTGAATAAACTTCTAACCTTACAGGGTGTCCAGTCCATATTTACGTTGGATGAGTTGGAGGCACAGACTGGGATAAAAAATTACCATGACTAGGCCTAGTCCTAGTAGGATCTTCTACACTGGAAACAGGATTTGAATGAGAAGTAGGCCTGGTACTTTTTTTAGGAAAATATTTTCCTATGAGTATTCCTGAGGGCCAGAAGTCAGCTTTCATCAGGGATTCAACGATTTCACAAGGCACACCAATTTTAAACGAGTTATAAGAGTCGTGTCGTGTCGGGAGCTTTACACAGTCAATCATCCTGTTTGGGAAAGAGGATTCGACATAGCCTTTCACATCACTTTCACTGGTCTCTACTTGAAATCGTGTAACATAGATCCACGATTTTTTACTAACAGCTTGAAAAATACCATTGCCATTACCATTCCCGACAACCAATTTATTGCCGGAAACATACTGGATTGATTGACGTAAGTTGCTATTATTAAGTTA